AAAATTATTGATAAAAAAATTGTTAAAGCATTTCTTTCAGCAAATATACCAATTTCTTGTCTAGAAAACAAACAAATGATTGAATTATTTAACCAATTAAATCCAGATTATAAAGTTCCAACATCTTCTGAATTATTAAATAGTCTTGATTAATATTTTATTGTATAATTCTTTTATATTATATATTTATCCCCCTTTTTTATTTAACATATTGTTATTATTAATTATAAAATTTTATAAATATTATAATTTTTTCTTTATATTTTTTATCGAAAATGTCTTTTATATTTTCTGGAATCAATAAAACTTTTAAAGAATTTGTTGAAAAATTATTAGATATTAAATTTAAAAAATTTGATAAAATAGCAAAAAATGATAATGAAAAAAGACATAAAGGAAAAGTTTTTGAATATTTTCTTTATGAATTAGCAACTCATAATGGAATAATTGTAAAGATGAACCAAACATTTATTTCATTCTCGAAAACAATATTTAAAACATTATCAGATGGGTGTACTGATCTTTATAGTAAGCATTTGTTTACTTAGTATTGATCTACTTTTATAGTTGAATGAGCAAACAGACTGGCGGTGTCATCTGGTGTAAATTCCGTCAGCATAACTTGTTTGAATCGCCTATAAATTTTAATAAATTAAAACTAAATATAGAAATATAGTTATTATAGTTGAATGAGCAAACAGACTGGCGGTGTCGTCCTGTGTAAATTCCATCAGCATAACTTGTTTGAATCGCCTATAATACTATTCTTGAAGTTTTAGAGAAATGATATACTAATAATTATTTTTTAATAGGACAATATCAACAATTACATTGGTTTGCTTAATGTAAATATAGAAGTGGAAATATTAAAATTCAACTAGCTGAAATAAGAGAATTTTTAAATACTGCAAAAAGAAAAACAAATTATGATGTAGCATTTTTTATTTCTAATATTGAATTAAGTGATTATGCAATCAATGAATTAAAAAATTATACAGGTGATAAAGCTAAAATTTGTATTTGTCTTATTCAAGATTTTATTCCAAAAATTCATGAATATGAAAATATATTTTTAAATAATAAAATTAAATTAGAAAAAGAAAAAACTAAATATTTAGAATATGAAATAGAAAATAGAACATTAAAAAAATATAATGAAAAATTAGAAAATCTTAATGAAATATTAGAAACTAAAATTAAAACAATTGAGGAAAATAACAAAAAATTAGATGAAAAACTTAATTTAATTTTAGAAATTTTAAATAAAAAATAAATATAGAAATTTCTTTATGTATTCAACTAATAAAAATTAAAATACTCTAAATAAAAAAAATTGTTCTTTAAACATTATTGTACATATATTTGTAACCAATAAAAATTATATGAAAATAATTACTATTTATATTCTTATTTAAAACAATGTATTTGCTCCAAATCCCTATAAAAATTTTTAATAATGTAAACATATTAAATCATTACTAAATTAATCATGATTGTAAATCTTTATGTATACAATACATATTTTTTTTGTATTTTTGTTTTATAATGTAACATATACATATCGATAAATAAATTCCAAATAAATCAAAATGATACAAACATTCATTATAAACTTTGAAAAAAATCTATCTTACACAATCTAAAAATTTATATCCTTTCTTCATATTTGCACAAATTATTTACATTTTAATTCTCATTAATACAATTATGTCAAATTTTATTAGTACAATTTTTAGAACTAATTCTGGTAGAATTCCACCAAACCAACAAGAGATTTATGATAATCTTCCTTTTACAAACAAAGAAAATTATTCTCAAAGTACAAATTCATTTGTAATGGCTAATTCCGAACCAATAAATGATCTTCCTCTATCGTATGATGAAATAAAACAAGATAGTATTTAATTTTTAATTTTTTTGGTTTTTTTTTATTACTAGTTGTTAAAAAAAAAATAACAAAATGTCCAATATTATAGAATGTATACAAGTTCTGGAAAATACAAATATTGATGCAAATTATTTGAGTAATCATATTGCAGATGAATATCAGCCTTTTATAAGAAGAATAAAACTATTAGAAAAAACTATTGGTAAATATATTTATAAAAAAAAATAACTAATCAATAAACATTTTATTAATTTTTTTTAAATTTAGTTTTTTTAAAAAATGATACTAAATTTTATAAGAAATTCTTAATTTTCTTTTTACTTGTGATTTCTATTATTTTAATATTATTTGGTCTTTATATTTGGTGGATGACAAATATTCATAAGATGAATACCCAACTTTTATATGAACAAGTTGAAGTTGAAGTTAAAAAAAAAGTTTTTAATGAAAATATAGATATAATTATTAATTTTTTAAATTCACAAAAAATGTAAATTATTCAATGTTTCTTTTTCTTCTTTGTTATTCAAATGTTGATTAGAAAAAAATTTTTGTAAATTTCTTTAAAATTTTTCTTTGATTTCGTCATTTAGATTTCTTCTTGTTTTTATTTATAAATTTGGTTTAAAAAAATTCTGTCATGTAATTTTAAAACTTTGTTCTTCTTTTAACAAATAAATGAAAATTTCAAAATACAAAAATAATAAAAAAAATAAAATAAATTTGAAAGAAAATGAAAATGAAATAAAAAAAGACAATAAAAAAATAAAAAAAATATAAAATAATAAATAATATCAATATAATATAAAAAATATCATATGAAAGATCAAACATTTCAATATAATAAGAATCAGAATCCATTGTTTTTTTTTTAATATTATTTGTTAATGATTCTGATAATATAAAATCAAACTTAAAACGAAAAACAAATCAAATAAATTAACAATAAAAGAAATGTAAGAAAAATTAATATTTTCTAGAAAATTTACTAACAATGAAATACTAAAATAATAAATTATAGAAATAAAAATAAATTTGAAAATAAATAAATTTTTTAAAAAATTAAAAATATCGTTTGTCCAAGATTTAGAATAATTTTTACTATGTGAAAAATTGGAATGACTTGTGTTATTAATATTAATATCAAAAGGAAAATTATTAGAAAAATTAAAAACTTGATCAAATAAATTATTGTTTGGTTCAAATTCATAACTATTACTACTAGAATATGAATATGAATAGGTATAACTTTTGAAATACATTTTTTTTTTTAATTTATTACATTCGATTTTGTATTTTTATCAATGTTTAAATTAATAATTGAAATTAAAAATCTTAATATTTATTATTAATATTATTAATTTATTTATATTTTATTAATTTATTATTTTTTAATATTTTTAATATATGATATTTTAAACAAATAAGTAATATTCGCCATTCCTCTTGTAAAATATAAACATTATATTTTAAATAAATATTACAAATAAATAAATATAAAAATCTATAACGTGAAATAAAATAAAATTCATATTTTGAATATATTAAATATAATATTTTGATATTTTCTACTAATTCTCCATTTAAAGATTTATTTAATATTTCCAAAATAGATTCTAAAGAATATATATTTATTTTGGAACTTGGACTAAATAAAAAAAACCTATAATCATCATGAATTTTGTAAAAAAATAATTTTACATCATATAATTTATTATAATGTCTCATAATAAAATAATAATCATAAGTATTTCTATAACGATTTTTATCTATATATAAATTATTAGATTCAAATGTCACATTAGGAATATTACATCCATTAATCCAACTAAATGGATTTTCTTGTTTGATATCATATTTGTATGCATTTAATAAATCCCATATACTACCACAATAAAATATTTGTCTTAATGAATCATTTCTTTGTTTTATACATTTTTCTCGAATACATTCAAATGGAAATATTTCTTCATTTAATTCAAATTTATTATAAA